ACCACAGAAACACACCGGGCATTGGAGCCTGGGTCCCCAAATGAGTCAGGGCCCCCCAGAGGGGCTCAGCGCGGGCACAGGAATTTCCCTTCATGCCAAGCAAGGGCTCTGCTTCTCACTGACCTCTGTCCAACCCCCGGGCCCAAAGGGGTGAGGTCAAGATCGGCTGCCCCAGCGGGAGGGGTGGGAGGTCCTGGGAGCCAACCCACCTGGCCTTGGCCAACGTCCTGGGAGCCAACCCTGGCCTCTTTTAACACCAAATACTCCCCCCACCCACCCCCAGAGCTTGATGCTAACCGGGAATCCATGCAGAGTGCCGAGGTATGGATGGAGCTGCGGGCAGGAAGTGTCTGAGGTGTGCCTGGTGCCTGCCTGACCCCGTGCCCCCAGCACACCCCACATTTCTATGCCAAGGAAGTAAAGGAAATAGGAGCTTCTCCCCAGGCCTGAGGCCCCAGCGGGTGCCAAGCGGCCAGCTGCAAACTTCCTTCTTGCTCTTCTTGTGCTCAGGGGAGCGAGGTTTTCCCACGGGGCGGGCGGGGTGCTGTGCGGGAGAGGTGCCCGGGACGGGTGTCTGCCCCAATGCTGGCCAGGCGGAGCGGGGCGGAGGCAGCAGGCGGTCCGGCTGACCTCTTGGAAGCAGCATGCTCCCCGCACCCTGCACCCTGCACTGCATATATTCTCTCTCTCCAAAATAGCATCTCTGGAGGGGGGAAGTGGAGGAAGTTCTCAGCTCATCATTCACTCCTTCCCACGGTGTGTTCACAGCCCTCTGGCTGTCTCTCTCGACCTGGTTTCCCGGCCAGGCCCCTCTGCCCTGCCTCCGCCCTCACCAGGGCGAGCTGCCGGGCCCGAGACCCCCAGGCAGCAGCAGGCTGCCCTCCCAGGCCCTCCACGCCGCCGTCTCCTGCCTCCAAGCCGCGGCTGGGCCGTCATCGGCCCCTGCTCCTCTTGGTTCAGAAGTGAATCCACTGCACTCAAACTGAGCACCCATGCGTGTGGGGTCTATGGGGGAGTCCCTGGGGGAGGGGACCCCTGGGCCCCACCTCGGAGTGAAGCTGCACCAGAAGGCTCTAACGGAGCTGAGGGGCCCTCATGGCAGGGGCCACGGTCCCACACTGGGCGCAGGGCGGGTGGGGGCAGTAGGGCCCTGTTGGGACAGGCCCCCATGTGACCGGGGAGCAGGACGCGGTGCTGGGGTCCTCACGCCTAGGAGAGGGGCTCCAGGGATGGGCTTCTCAGGAGAAGGAAGGGTGGGTGGAGACGGCTCTGAAGGAGGACAGGGGCAGTATGGGGTGGCTGGCACTTAGAGATGTGGGCTGCCGGGATGGGTGTCTGTCCAATCTGAGGGGGAGGAGCAACAGTGGGTGCATTCCCCCTGCCAGGGGGCGGCTGTGGGGCTGCAGAAGGCCTGCCCTCCTGACCCCAGTGCCGTGTGAGGGTTGGAGGCCAGGAAAGTCAGCCTCCAAGCCCCCCTAGGGAGCCAGCCCCCCTTTGTTATTTCTGGCTCCTGTACTTGGTCAAGAAGGGTGTCAGCGGTAATGCAAATGAGGAGGTGTCGGAGGTGCTGGCCGACACCCATCCTGTCCCCCTCCCGGCCCTCCCCCAGTGCCCACACTCGCACAGTCGACTGGAACAGCTGCGGGGCACGCCTGGTGCCCCTGTCCAGGGCTGAGTTGGCATGGAGGGTGGGCGTAGCTGCCGGTTCTCAGGGCTGCTGCTTATGCCACTGGAACAGGGGCTGGCACCCAGAGGACCAAGAGGGCCTCCAGCTGATGCCCAGGCCCTCCCCTACCCCGGCCCCTCCTGTTCTCTGCCCTGCCAGGCCTCCCTGGGCACTGAGATCTGGACAGTCCATGCCCCACACGGGGCCTCCTCTCCCAGGCTGCCCAGGGGAAGGGCACGCACTGGGCATTCCCCACGGCACTGGCACGGCCCTCTGAGGACCTGCAAGGTCTCCAGAGGCGCCTGGGCAGCCAGGGGGCACCGCGCTGAGCGCCAGGCATTGCCCTGGAGTGAACGCGGAGAAGCCGGGGAAGGGCAGGGAGAGGGGCAGGTGCCAGAGGATCTCACGCCCCACACTCTCTCCTCACGTTCCCTGGCCTCTGCCCCGACACCTTGCCCGCCCCTTCCCAGTGAGGACCCCTCGCCCTGGGGGACATTCCAGCTAGCGTGTCTGCCTCTGTTCTTCCTGCGCCAGCCAGGGCTGCTCTGCTCTCGTCCACGCTGAGAGAGAAATGGGGCCAGGGGAGCCGTTCCCTCCTCCCTACCCCTTGGAGATGCCCCCACCCGCTCTGTTCCTCTTCATTAGCCCTCATCAGCAGGGTGAGGCGTTTCTCATTAACACGCTGACTCACCCACACGCCTCTCCCTTCTGTGAGCGATCAGCTCCTCTCCCCACAGACACACACACCACGGCCACCACCGCTCTGAAAGGAGGATCCCTCCTCTCCGCCCATTCCCTGGCACAGGGACCCGAGGGGGGCGGGGGTCTCCATGGCAGCTCAGGCTGAGGCAGTCCTGGGGGGAGCAGGGCTGTAGGGTCCCCCAAAGAGGAGGCAGAGTGTTCGGAGGCGAGACTACGGGCAGAGGGGCTGGAGCTGGAGCGGATGTTGGGTGCTGGCCTTTCGTTGGGGGCTTGGATACAAACCATGGGTGGCCTGGTCTCTGAGAAGTCTCCCTCACCTTCCAGCCCACCCTCCACGGCGGGTCTGTGCTGGTGGGAGTGAGCGGGTCCCCCTGCCACCACCCCCACCCCACCCCGGGTGTGTCTGCCTCAGCGGGGCTCTTCCAGCCACTCTGCTCCGCTCCTGCGAAGGCTGCCCCATCCTCTCACCTTCCCAGGAGCCTGGAGATCTAGACCTGTTTACCCCCCCACGCAGACCTCAGTGCCCCCCCATGACTCCCAGAGAAACGGGGAGCCAGCGCCCTTCTAGCTGATGGCGTCCTGCTTGGGGAGGAGGGGTGTGTTGGCAGGACCCCTCAGGCCCGCGCCCAGCCCCCAGCCCATAGCCTCTCCTTCGGTGGGAAGGCTGTGGTCTGGAGGACCTAAGCTGGGGGCAGATTTCCCCACGACCCCCGCCCCCAGCCCCAGCCCTTTCCCAGGTCCTCAGAAACCAGGAGACAAGCTGCCGGAATCTGCACCTCTGTCCTCAGCTCTCTCACCCGATGACTATGAGGGCGGCATGTCCAGGCTGCAGGAAACCCAAGTCCCTCCCCACCTCCAGGCAAGCCCCCGTGCACTCCTTCCGGGCCACCTTCGAGTTTCTCTCTCTCTCTCTCTCTCTCTCTCTCTCTCTCTCTTACTGATCTTTTGATCTTTACAGAGAGGAAGGGAAAGGAATAGTTAGAAACTTTGATCAGCTGCCTCCTGCACCCCCACCCCCACTGGGGACACGCCTGCAACCAAGGTGCATGCCCTTGACCGGAATCAAACCCAGGACCCTTGAGTCCGCAGGCCGATGCTCTATCCACTGAACCATCCAGTTAGGCCTCCCTTTCTCAATGGCCAGGATTTCTCTCCACCTGTGCTCCCGTGCCACCCCCACTCCATCCTCACCCTCCCTCCCAGCAAATGCTTCCCAGACCCGAACAGGACCCAGATCCCACACCTGGGTATGGCCTTCCGCTACGGGAGCTGAGATGGGGGAGTGCCAAGGGGCACCGAGCACCCATGTGCCAGAAGTTCCAGAACCTTCTTTCCCATGACGTCCCATAGGGACCGCTGTTCTCACCTTTCCCGTCACTCAGCCCTTGACTGCAGGTGAAATCAAGGCTGGGTGAACTTTAGAGGAGCAAGGTCCCCGGTCGGCAAACGGCGGCTCGCGAGCCACATGCGGCTCTTTGGCCCCTTGAGTGTGGCTCTTCCACAAAATACCATGGTCTGGGCGAGTCTGTTTTGAAGAAGTGGCCTTAGAAGAAGTTTAAGTTAAAAAAATGTGGCTCTCTAAAGAAATCTCAATCGCTGTATTGTTGATAGTTGGCTCTGTTGACTAATGAGTTTGCCGAACACCGCCCCAGGGAATCTGGACCTTGACACTAAGTGGGGAAGATTGGTGGCCCAGGTCAAAGCTGAACCCCGGGCCTTCATCAGCCATTGCCCCCGCCTCTTGTTTCAAAGGATGAAAGAGCCTAAACCAGTGTGGCTCAATAGATAGAGCATCAGCCTACGGATTGAAGGGTCCCAGGTTCGATTCCGGTCTCGGGCACATCCCCAGTAGGGGTGGGGCGAGACCCCGAGGGCTTGAAAACTGTGCAGTAGGGAGTGTGCAGGAGACAGCTGATCGATGGTTCTCTCTCATCAATGTTTCTAGCTCTCTATTCCTCTCTCTTCTCTCTGTAAAAAAAAAAAAAAAAAATCAATAAAATAAAATAAAAAACAAAACAAAAAAACCCCACAAAGGGTGAAAGGATCCCGTGGAAATGAAAGGTGCCCGGAGTTGATGCAAAAGAACCTCAGGCCCGTTGTGCAGACAAAGGGCAGCCCTGGCGGGGGCAGGAGTCAAGGGTTCGTGACCTGGCTCTGACCTGCAGGGCTGGGCGGCTTCTGAAGCAGCCGCTGAGCCTGGAGCCCAGCCCTTCCCCTGCTCTCACACTCTGAGGACGTGGAACACGGATGTTCTTCCTCTTGGAGGCCCCGGCCTGGTTCCTGGCGGGCAGAAGCCGTCTGATGAAGAAGTAGCTGCTGCTAAGACATGAGCCCTCGGGGAGGCTTCAGACCTTCCGGGCAGGAAAATTCAAGAGTCCCCGACACCTGCTCAGGCTTGGTGGCTGCTGTCACACAGAAACCCCCCGTCGCCCCAGATCTGTCCTCCATAAACTCACAATCACCTGTGGCCGCTTGCATGCTTACGTCCCAGAACCGCCTTGGGGTGTGGGTGCCCTCCGCACCCCCCATTTGCCCAGTGACCGCTCTCCATGGCGGTGTAGCCTTGAGACACCGATTTCAAGCCCTCGCTCGGGTCTCGCCCCGCCCCTGCCGTGGAGGGCACACACGGAGCGCAGATGGAACAGGTAAGTTTTATTTGGACTTTCAACTTGTTCAGAGGGCTCAGGGGCCCCCACCTCCCCTCTGCATTCCCCCCCCCCCGTCCCGTCCCCCTCTCCCCTCCCTGGGGGCACACCCGAGGTGCAATGCCAGGTGTCTCCGGGGTCCTTGGCCCCTTCCCCGCCGGACACCCCCCTGCGCCCAGGGGGAGGGGCGGGGGAGGAGGGAGGGCCTGGAAGAGTTGGATCAGAAGGGTACATGCACTGACAGTAGCGGCCACCGCAGCCGGCCCAGCCGGGACCCGCAGAGGCTGGCAGCGGGGGTGGAGTCGTCGTGGGTGGCAGGCTCTGGCGGTGGGAAGCTCTCGCCTCAGCCCGGGACCCCTGGCCTCCTGCTTACCCGTCCTTCTGAGGGTACAACTCTGAGGTAGATTTCACAGAGGGAACGTGGGTCACTGGGGAGTGGGGAAGGGGTTAGCTCTTTTGTGTTTGATCTCCACAGCACCCTGGGCCCATCCTTAGGTTCTGGCCTGGGAGGCAGGGCTGATGGCACCCACCCGGCTAGCAGAGCCTGAGCCACACACGGGTGCCAGGGGCTCAAGGGGGGTGAGAAGGGAGGGGAACAGCTGTCGTAACCACCCGTGCCTCGGAGCTGGGGGTCCCGGGAGGGGGTGCACGGGCCTAAAAGGCTGGCACAGACAGTCCCCTGGCCTGAGGGTCATGGTGCAGGGACCCCAGCCCACAGGGCAGCCTCTTTAGGCTGGGTCCTCCCGGTCCTCCCTCTCCTCTCCCACCCTCCCTGTTCCTCAGGGTGGGCAGAGGGGGAGAACGGGACTGGCCTGCAGAGAGTGGCAAGAATCAAGGTGTCTCCTTCCCCCCAACAGGGGCCCAGGCCACGCGCCCTGAGCTGGCCATGGGATGGAGGAACTGGCATCCGTGTGTAGGGCGGGCTCTGGAACCCCCCTCGGTCTGTGCCCCTCGGGCAGAGCACGGCCGGAGAAAGACGGATGTCTGGGGAGGGGCCGAGGGAGCTCCCGGGGCCCTTGGATGCCCTCCCACTCCCCAGGCCCAGCCACTAGACGTCTCCTTGGATCCCACTGTGTTGGAGAACAGAAAGGCAGAGGAGAGGCTGGCCGGGTACCCCCTCCCCGTCCCAGCCCAGATCCCCATCTCCCCTCGGAAGCCAGGGGGCTGGGGAGAGAGCCTTGACTGGCCTCCTGGGAGGAGCCAGGGCTGAGCGGTGCCTGGGCCTGGGAAGATGGCACACACGTTCACTCGGTAGCTAGTGGAGGTATCTGGGGGTCGCCAGGGGCAGGGGCCCCCCCACAAGATTCATGCAGCATTCAAAGTGAGTGAGTGCTGGGGGTGACGGGGGCGGGCGGGGGAACACCCTAGATCTTGCTGTTCTCCAGGTGGGAATCAATGTGTTTGATGAGGGCGTCGTCCGGGTACCCGACCGGGAAGCCCAGCTGGCAGAGCGGGCAGCTGCGGACGTCGGAGCCCACGGTCTCCATCAGCAGCTGTGGGGAGAGAGGGAAGTCACTTGTGATCCCCCAAACCCTCCCTCACGCTCCCCACATCCCAGCATGCCCTCTCCCTGGGGCCCTGGGGGGGGAGGACTGCAGCATGCAGAAGGGACCTGGCACCTTCTGTCCGGTACCACCCCTCTCCTCCCCGTCCCTGCCCACCTGCCACCAGTTCAGCATCCTCCCCCCACTCCCCCCCCAGGGCCCAGGGTCCCGGGAGGTGTGTGTGCTCGGTCTGCCAGGGCATCAAGGCATCGAGGGAAGGCCGGGCACAGCCGTGCCCCCAGAGTGACTAAGCCTCCGCTGCCGGGTAACACAAAGCACTGACTCGTCCCAAGCAACGTGTGACCCAAAAATAACTCTCCGTTTGGCTTTCGAGTGTATTTTGGTCCTTCGAGGTGGCAAAGAGTTGACTCTGACATTCAGGAAACTCATTATTTCAGTGAAACGACAGAGCCCTAAGACAGGTGTTACAGGGGCTCCGAGGCCCGATGGCGGGACGAGGGTGCGCAGGCCGGTCCCCATGTCAGCCAGGACCCTGGGGTCAGCGTGGCCTCCATCGCCAATGGGAGAGCATTCTGCTCAGGGCCTGTGCAGAGGGCTGCAGGCCGTGGCCTCCCTCCCCGGAGCCCTCGAATGGGACAGATAACGGAATCACTGCCCTGGTTACGCAGATGAGAGCGCTCAGGCTCGGAGAGGATAAGCCACTTGTCCAGATCCCCACAGCTACGAGGTCTGGGATCAAAACCAGGGCTGTCACTCTGCAGGCCCAGCCCTGACCCAGAGCCCAGACCAAGGCTTAGTGGTCCATCGGGGTGCGGGGCGCTGCCCAGGCCCCGGGGGAGCAGCGGGCGGGGCCCAGGGGAGCGGGCCGGGGCTGCCGGGTCTCCGGCCACTCACGTTGATGGACGGCCAGGACTGCGCGTGCTCGGCGTGGGCATAGGCGGCGGCTGCGGGCGCCTCGGGGACGGGGAAGCCGGCGCAGAAGGAGGAGCAGCGGACGGCGCCCGCCTCGGGGCTGGGCGGGCTGGGCGGCGCGGACCACTCGTCCTCCTCGGACGGCTGCTTCTCGAAGCGCAGGCGGAGGCCCTCGAAGGCGCGCCGCGGGCTGAGCGGCCGGCCCGGCCCGTAGAGCTCGGCGGCGCCGTAGGCGCGCGGCTTGGGCAGCGTGGCGGCCTCGGCCTGCAGCCAGGGCGGCGCGGCCGCGTAGGCGCCCTCGGCCCGCTCGGAGTAGCTGCGCCGGGCCTGGAAGCCGGCCTTGGCGTGCTGGCTGCCCGGCTTGGCGTAGGCGCGCTCCGCGGGCGGCGGCAGCGGCGGCGGCGGCCGGGGCGGCGGGGCCGGGCCGGCGGGGGGCCCCGGGGAGCGGCGCTGCGGGCCCGGGGACTGGCACGGCGGCACCGGCGACCGGCGCTGCGGGACGGGCGACGGGCAGGAGGGCGAGGCGGGCGAGAGGCGCTGCTGGGGCGAGGGGCACGGGGGCCCCGGGGAGCGGCGCTGCGGGGCGGGGGACTGGCACGGGGGGCACGGGGGCACCGCTCGCGCGGGCGGCGACGGCGAGGGGCACTGCGGGCCCGGGGAGTGGCGCTGCGACAGCGGCGAGTGCCTCTGGCCTGGAAGAGAAGCAGGACCGGGTCAGGGGGGCGAGGGGGAGAGAGGGGGTCAGAACTGGGGGCGATTGGGGGAGAGAGGGGGTCAGAACTGGGGGCGATGGGGGAGAGGAGGTCAGAACTGGGGAGGCGATGGGGGAGAGGAGGTCAGAACTGGGGGCGATGGGGGAGAGGAGGTCAGGACTGGGGGGTGATGGGGGGGAGAGGAGGTCAGGACTGGGGGGATGGGGGAGAGGAGGTCAGGACTGGGGGGCGATGGGGGAGAGGAGGTCAGAACTGGGGACGATGGGGGAGAGGAGGTCAGAACTGGGGGCGATGCGGGGGAAGGTCAGGACTGGGGGGCGATGGGGGAGAGGAGGTCAGAACTGGGGGCGATGGGGGAGAGGAGGTCAGGACTGGGGGGGGATGGGGGAGAGGAGGTCAGGACTGGGGGGATGGGGGAGAGGAAGTCATGGGGGCGGGGCTTGCTTTTGACCAAAGCCCGCCCACCCGCCTCAGGCTCGAAGGGAAAGGAAGCGGAGGGTGGGACACCGGTGGTACCACAGCTCCCCACCCCGGGGTCCGCCCGGCCCTGCCGCCTCTCACCGCTCCGGGCCTGCTCCTGCAGCAGCGTCCGCAGGATGCGGCCCTGCAGAGCGCTCAGCTCCCGCAGCCGGCCCAGCTCCTCCGTCAGCTCCGTGTAAGCCAGCGCCAAGTTCACCCTGAGGAGACCCAGGCCCCAGGTCACCGTCTGACCCCGCCTCCCCTGGCCCTGAGGTCAGAGGGCAGGGCTTCCTGTCACCGCTGTGGAGCAAGAGCCGGCTCTGCCCCGCACCAGGCCCTCTCCCTCCTCCCCCCGGGCCTCCTCCCCAGGTTCAGCGCCCCTGCCTCCAGGGAGCCCCCTCTCCTCCCGCGGGTGTGCCTGGGCCAGGGCAGTGGCTCCCAGACTATGGGCGGGGGCTGGGGAGCTCAGTGATGCCTGAGGGGTCCCTGAATCCTACGGCCTGACCATGTCCCACACAGGCATGTGTGAATGTTTTCCCAATCTGTGCGGAGCTGCGGTGACAAATAAAACACAGAGCCATCCAAGAGCCGCATGGCGTGGCTCGTAGCTTTTGTCCCCGTGCATCTTTCCAAGAGGAAGCGCAGTCCGTGTGCCGCCTGCAGGGGGTCCAGGAAGAGCCCTCAGCTCTGCAAGGCCAGGGGCCCTGCGGCTCCCCCTGAGGAGCTCCTTCTGCAAGCGAAGGGCTGGCCTCCTGGTCGGTCGGTCGGTCGGCAGAGGTGCCAACAGACACACGGAGCCCGCGCCTGCCCAGTGCCGGCCGGGCCCTGGCTTCCATCTCTAAGCGGCTCCGCCCCGGGGCGCCCGGGAGCCCCTCACCGGGATCTCCGGGCACAAAGGGCTGTGCGCTCGCCGGGGGGCGGGGGCACCCCTCACGCTGGAAACCTATCCGAGTGGCCCTGTTCTGGAACCGCCCTGGCAGTCCCTCGAAGGCGGGAGCTAATCCCTGACTGCACCTGTGTTCTCAGCACCTCGTCCGGGGCCTGGCACCCACACACGGATAAGGAGCTGAGCCTTCCCACCCAGTTGTCTTTCCTCCTCCACTTCCTGCTCGGACCTCCTGGGCGCCCACCCTCACCAAGCTGGAGCAGACGATGGCCACATCCCTCTTTCCTTTCTCTCCGGGTCCCTTTGGCCCAGAACCTCCGAGGCTATCCCTCTCAGCGTTGCCCCTCCCCTCCCCCCCACCCTGGCCTGCTCGCCCCCAGAGACCTTCCTCCCATGGCCTTGGGCCTCTGCCTTCTGTCCCGGGCTTGCACGGAGTCTGGGGGGCAGGGGTTTGGGTTCTCCTGCGTCCCCCCTACCTCACCAAGGCCAGAAGGTGGCAATTGGAGCGGGAGGGAAGTGACAGGCAGAGGCTCAGCCACTCGGTGGACCACTCCCCAGGGGAGGCCCTGTAGCCCAGGAGCTGCAGGGCCCTGGCAGGAACAGGCGGGACTTCTCCAGACCCTCCCTCAGGCCCGGCCCCACCCCACCATCCGGCACGGGAGAGGGGATGTGTGTGGACGGGAGGGAGTGGAGGTAGGTGTGAGGCCGGCCCGGTGAGTGAGTGTGTGTGTGTGTGTGTGTGTGTGGCCCCCGAGGAGGGGAGGGGAAGTCATGAGGTTAGGGCCTCAGAGGGCAGGAAAAGCCAGGGTGCAAGGCAGGTAATGACTGAGCCTCACTCTCACTCTCCACTCCCCGGCGGCCGGCTCTCTCGCTAGCGCTGGGGGGTGGCGGAGACCATGGCGTCTCCCACAACAAAACTATCTCGGGGTCAAAGCGAAATCATTGCAAACGGGCCGGGGCTCCCGGGGGCACAGGGCTACTCCTGAGGGGGGAGATGGAGATGGAAGAAAGGGGGTCCTTTCGGGAACCTCCCCTGAAGGCCTGCACGCAGCCCTGGTCCCAGCACACCCCAGCCCCGGTGTTGGCTGAATGTGTCCAGCGTCCACCCCCTCAGCCTCCGGGCCTGTGGGGAAACGCCATCTGCTTACACTGGGGACTCCGCAGTGGGAGGCCACCCCTTCAGGCCTGGGGGAATCTGAGGGCGGGAGCTGTGTCTCCCCATCTGACTGGGGGCTCCCCGGGCAGCAGGCCCCGCAGTGGGGGGAGGGGCAGGGGAGGGGCAGGGCGTCCTCCTCTGACCGAGCAGCCACCGTTCCTCTCCCCACTCCTCCTCTCCCCACTCCTCTCCCCTCTGCAGCCACTGCTGCATCTCAGGTGACAGATGCAGGTCGGTGCCTTCACACCCGGCTGGGAGCTCTCACCTGCCGCCCTCAGGTCCCAGGCCCCCGGCTCTCCCCTGCCTGCCTGCCTTCCCGCCCTCGCCAGGAGCTAGCCCAGTTTCCAGCGCCCCGCTTCTGGCAGCCCCTCACACAGAGCACACAGAGCAGCAGGAAGCGGAAGAAAGGAATCCCTGACCCAGAACGGCCAGCCCCTCACGCCTCTGATCTGGGGCCTGGGGCAGGCAGGGACTGTCCTGCGGGAACCCGGGGCAGCCCTCCCCGAGGTCTGAGAGGTCTGAGAGCCAACCCCCTGATGCCCTATGACCCTTGGGGAGCTCTCCCTTCACTGGGTGTCCCTCCCAACCTCAAGATGCAGAGCCAGGCTGCGAAATACACAAACGACCCGAGTGACTCACATTAGAAAACACTGCCAATTCAGTGGGAAAAATAAATCGCAACTTCACAACACAGCCCAGGGTCACACACATATACCCGAAGCACATTCTGCTTCCCGGCTTCCTGGCCCTGCTGTGTCCTACGACCGGGGCTGGTTGGAAGGATGGGTCTGGCGGACGGACGGCATCTGGGTGCTGCCTTATGGCTTAGACTACACGGGGAAGCTCTGAGTCTCTCGGAACCTGGGACGGACCCAGGGAGGAAAGAATCACAAATCACCTGCACGCGCGCTCGGCACAGGCCGGGCCTGATGCTGGGAACTTCGCTTACTCCTCTCCCCCCACTTTATAGATGTGGATGTGGGGGTTTCCAGGGGTTACGTGCCTGACCCCGGTCACAAAGCCCAGGGGTCACGGAGCTGCTGCGATGGGAGCTCTGGCCTCCTGGATGCCAGAGTCCAGGCTACCGGCCATATCCTGTACTTTGCCTTCCAAAAGGAACAGGTAAGGGAGGGCAAGGAGATGGGAGGGCAGCAGAGGAGCAGGAAGAGGCTGGAGACCTCCCAAGTGGCCGGGGGCCCTGAGCATCACCACCCGCCCGGAGCAGAGAGGAAGGAGCCAGACACATGTGGAAGCGGCGTCTCGGGGCTTGGGAGAGGCTGGCCCAAGGTCGAGAGCCGTGGTGACACAGAGCAGGCGTCCAAACAGGCTCTTGGCACCTGGGCCTGCTGAGCTGGCACCTCCGGAGGAGCACATGGCAGAGCTGGCAGGAAGGAGGGCAGCCTCTGCTGCACGTCTTGCCACCCTCCATTGACTTATCCTTCCATTCACTCTTCCCACGCTCGGGGATCTCACAGACCCGCCCACGGTCGCTATCCTCAGTTATCCACAAAGCCACCGGGGCGGGACCCGCCAGAGGCCCGAGTCCTCCCCTAGGACAGGCCTTTCTGCCCCAAACCCCAGGGCGCCCTGTGTGGGAGCACCCCTGAGGACACGGCAGGGTTGGCGTTCACGCGCTGGGCCATGGATCAGAATTAGGGATGGGCTTGAGGTCAAGGTGAAGGCTAGGGTCAAGGTGAAGGCCGGGTTCAGGGTCAGATAAGGGTTGGGGTGGATAGTTCCTTTTCAGTCAGAACTGTGGACAGAGTTGGGGTCAGGATAAGGGATGGGGTTCGAGTCAGGGATGGGATCCACATTAGGGTTAGGAATGGGGTGAGGGGCGAGCTGGCCATGGGGTCAGTCAGAATCACGAACCGAGTCAGGGCGGGGAGGAACACAGACACCAGCCTTCCTCGCCCTCCCATCGTTGCCCACAGCGGCCCTCAGATGCCCCCAGTCACCTCACCCCTGTGGGTAAATATAGGGACCAAACTTTCCACCACCCACAGGCACGCCCAGCACCAGTCTTCCCACACGACCCTCAGGGAGGGGACCACAGGCACCAGGCCATGGAGCGGACTTGAGGTTACGGGCCGCGGCGGGAGGAGGAAGTCGCTCTGCAACAACCCAGCGCTCCACCACTTCCTCTCGGGCGCCTTGAGCCCTTCACGCTCCTCGACCAGCTACGACTTGCGGTCCCCGGAGCCGGCTCCCCAGGGCCGCCCTGCCATGCTTCCAGCCCGGGCGCCTCCCCCACGCAGCCCGACGGGGCCGCTCCCCAGAGTGCCCGGCCCGGCGAGGGGCCACACAGCCCAGTTTGCCCAGAACTGTGCTGGTTCACACTGGCTGCCCCAGTGTCGATGCTCATGGCGCCCCTGGCACTTGTCACAGGGATCAGATTTGACCCACAAATCAACCGGCGCCTCTGATCACGGCCTCCAGCCCGAAGGAGCAGAATCGGAACCAGAAAAACACCCCATTTCCTCCCGCCCTCC